AGCTTACTTAGGAGCCTTGGGATATATTGACTCAAAACAGAAGGGATCCATATTAAGTGAATTGAATTTTTGGAATTGTCACTTCATTTATGATAAATCATTATCTCAATTGCTATTTTTCTTGAACAGACAGATCACTCAGGTCATTATTTCCCAAAAATTATCTGGGTTCCACACAAGTAAGACTGGCTTGTTTCTATTTTTTGTTAAAAACTAAAGTAGTTGTTAGGACTTTTGGTGGAGGCAGACTGTTTTCGAAATGTTGGGGAGGGTCTAGAAATAATGAGGTGCTCTTTTCAACCTTTATAATCCTTACAAGGACTAAGATCTAAATTCTCCTTACATTGTCATCCTAGAATCAAACACTAACATCATAAGAATTGAGGAAATGATTGTTGACTAAAGAACTGTTTGATTGTTAAAAGCAGTCTTACTGTCAGCTGCAGGAATTGTAAAGAGAATATTACAGAGAACATCCATTCTGAGGGTGTGAAGGTTTTAAATATTAAAATACTGCGTTGGTGAGGTAAATTATCGCTAACGACCATTCTTGCAGAGCATGTGTTTTAATGTTAATAGGTGTGCTGTTTAATTAAAGAATAAATGTTACAAATATTTGCATCTGATAGTATTTTCATAGAAAAGTATTTGTCATTCCTTTTGTTTGAAAATGTATTAGGTAACAGGCATTTTATGGGCAGCAACTGGGCTTCATGATCCTGATATTGCTGCTATGAATGGAGGTCAGTTTTAATGATGACTGAATAAGAACCTTTTGTTTGTTCTAACATCTCATCCAGGAAGGGGGGGGGGGGATAGTAGTAAAACTCCTAGTCACCTGATATTATGGAAACTGAGATATATTACAATGTCAAGTAAATATTTGCTGACACCCTAGGAACCTTAGCTTGGGAGTCATTGAAGTCCCTGTGCTACTGGTCTGGCAACATAAGAACACGGGCAGCACTGATCTTTATCAAAGTTGATTAAAAACGTTACATCACAAGTGACTGACAAGTAAAAATCTGATGAACTGCAAACAAACATTACTAAACAAAGAGAGAATTCAAGCACTCAAGAACATTGGTACAAACAGCAATACTAAAGACTGATTTTTTAGTAATTTTTTCTCTGTACTTTTTTGCAGCTTCTGCGGCTATTTCAGTGTCTGATATCCCTTGGAGTGGCCCCATTGGTAAGGTGTTGGTTAAAAGGTTAATGTTTTTTGGTACTGATTGCATTAGGCCTCGTAAATGATAACCCATTCAAGAGCATGTTTCCTACATCAGTACCACATTTCAGACTATTGAGCCATTTTGTAGTTCATGAAATATATGTCAGCTTTGGACATGATTTATACTTTAAATTAGTTTGATTAAAAAAGAATGAATTACCATTAATTTTTTTTATGAAACTTATGTGTTTCACCAAAAGGAAACTGAACCCTCAGTTGGTGCAACTAGTTTCTCTTTCTAACTGTGATTTATATATCTCATGAAAGTGGTTTGTGTTCATAAACTGAGGGACACAATGTAAAAAAGTATTGATTTAAATGGTAGACAAAGCTTCCACTCATTTGAAGGAAATGTTGACAATTCTGAAATGAAGTTATTGTTTGTGGTATTATTTTAGGTGCAGTAAGAGTTGGAGAGGTTGATGGGAAGTTTGTTATTAATCCTGCATGGTCAGAACTTAGTATCAGTAAATTGAATCTTGTTGTTGCTTGCAGTAAAACTAAAGTTGGTAAGATGAGAAGATGTGCAACGGTGTCATTTTTATTACATATATCTTACTAACCAAGCACGAGGGCCATACTGGGAAAATATCGGCCCTTGGTCTTGAAAGTGCGGACCGAGCACAGCGAGGTCTGTACAAAAAAGATCGAGGGCCGATATTCTCCCAGTACGGTCCCGAGCAAGCTTGATTAATAAGAGATTTATTATACGACTGAAGTTCAAAGGGGCACAAGTGCGGTATCATTCGGGACCATTCGGGACCATTCGGGACAATGCCCGGTCCAATACTGAGAGAATATTGACCGGCAGTAGAGCATTTTAATTGGTTGATTTTAGTTATTGGCCCTCTGACTGCCCGAGTCATGTAATACATGTACTTAAGGCCTCATTTTCTTAACAGTTTTTACTAGTATGTGCTTTTCCATTAGGTTGACAATTGAATTTAAGAATGAAACCTAATTTGCTTACCAGTATGGTATTTAATTTGAGAATGAGACAAGATTAATGAAAGTTGTACTTGATATACATTTTTGAAGGGAAATGGACAATTCATTTTGGGAGCATAAGAGAGTAATAGGGGTTTCTTTGGGTCCTATGAGTAATAAACTTTTAATTTACCATTCAGTTATTGTTGAATGTTTGAAATGCTGAACTGTGGGAAAACATTTAAGTAGCAATGTATGACTTGTGTTCTCGACTAAGCTTGCGTAAAGTAAAATGAGAGAATGAGAATCTATAATCAATAACTATTTATCTGATGGTTTCTAAAACAATGTTCTTGTGACTTTCAGTAATGATAGAGGCATTTGCTCAAGAAGTTAGCTCTGAGAGATTTTGTGAGGCTGTAAGATTTGGCTTTAAAGAGGTATACCATGCAAAAAAAATAATGATCTTTCTCAATAAAATTAATTGATTAATTCTAATAAAATTATCATTGCTGAAAATTATCATTGCTGAATATAACATTTAACTGATGGTTGCATCTTTACAACAGTGTCAACCCATCATTGAAGTTCTGCTTGAGTTGCAAAGACAAGTGGGAAAGAAGAAGGACATGTCACAAGTTGGGCGTGGCACACCTCCTGAAGAGATAAAGAATGCTATTGTGAGGTCAAATAGTCTTTTAAGAAAACTGATTCAAATAACAAAGGTCAAATATCCACCACTATGGGGAGTCAAACTAAGAACAGAACTCCCCCTTTCCCCTCCATTCATGTTTTGCCACTTAGTTTGAGTTAGTGAAGATTACTGAAGATAATTTCTTTTTTTCCTTTTCTCGTAGGTTTAATTTATACGAAAAATTTGACAAAATATTTTCAAACTATACTTACTCAAAGGTATGGCTTTAACCCTTCTCCCTCGGAAGTGTTTTATATTGTATAGAAAATAATACGGTAGCCCACAGGTGCCACTGCTGCACACTGTAAAAAAACCACATTTCTAATTAAAACTTTGCTTTCTCTTTGCAATTGTTCTTGTTTTCCATACAAAATGTAAGCCTGTTGCTTGGAAATGATGAGCCTCCTCCATAGAAATGAGCCTCCTCCGCAGAAATGAGCCTCCTCTGCAGAAATGAGCCTCCTCCATGGAAATCAAAGTACTGGTACCTATAGCCCAGGCTTCTCTCTAGTAGCAGTCCGCCATTTTTGATAATGGCGAATTTTTGCAGCTCAAGTGGTGAAAGTCTGGGCCAATTTTTGCCCCAAATGTGACGCAAAAGTGCACGCAGGTTAATGATCATTTCTTTTTTTTTTCTGTGTTTGAAATGTGATTTCATATTTTATATGAAACGTGATAAACAATGATCAAGTACTACAGCTAAATGAAGTTAGCCTGCTCCATGCAAGAGAGGAATGAAAACAACACAGTTTTTTAAGAATTACATTTTAGTGTAGCTTGTTTACATTGTCTTCCCTGAAATATTTTACTTTCTAGTTGGATATTCATGTGTGCTGTCAAGGCCTTATCTTTATTAACTATTCCCAAAATATTACCGGTGGCCTACCTATTTTTCACTTGAATCGTTGCAGTATAGACTAGGGTATTAATGTAATTAATCCAGGTGCACGCGCACCCCATAATCTTGGTGTTTTTTTAATATTAGAAATACTAAGAAATACTGGGGTACTTGTGCTGCCAACAAGCTTAACTTGGCAGTTACAAATAATTTTTAAACATTATTTTTTTTAGAGTTCAATGTGATAGAGAGCGTGGTAATAAAGAAGTATTTCCATCTGGGTTATGATTATAAAACAATCACAGATCTGCTACATATAGGTCTACCATGGCGTCGCTATGAGTGTTCGCACTCTTAAAAGGAGACTTCAGAGCTATAATCATGTGAAAAAGAAAATAAACGTTGATGAAAACTTCATTAGGAACATCATTAGAACAGCATCGTTTATCAGGTTTTATATAAAATATGAAATCACATTTCAAACACAGAAAAAAAAAAAAGAAAAAAACGATCATTAACCTGCGTGCACTTTCGTACCACATTTGGGGCAAAAATTGGTCATAGTACCTATAGCCTGGGCTATAGGTACCAGTACTTTGATTTCCACGGAGGAGGCTCATTTCTACGGAGGACGCGGATTTCTACAGAGGAGGCTCATTTCTAAGCAACAGGCTTATATTTGTATGGAAAACAAGAACAACTGGAACGAGAAAGCAAGGGTTTAATTAAAAACGTGTTTGTTTTACAGTGTGCAGCAGTGGCACCTGTGGGCCACCGTAAAATTATCAGCAAAAGCCTCCGAAACAGGGAGAGAGCGCCTGGAGTCGAACGGAAGTGACCGAAATCAGATGATTGTGTCCAGCATCAGACGGAACGCTGCGCTATCAGACGAAGCTTAGTTAAATCTATCTGACAACTGTTCAAAACTAGACAGATATGTGACTAGCTTTTGGCAGGAGAAGTTCTGCCGATGTTATCTCGATTTCTCTAAATTTCACTCGCATTTTGGAGCGCTGCTCCAATAATTATGGAACGAAATTGCATGAAACTCAGTTATTCGGCTTTATGATGCTCTCTTGACGAACAAATAAAACTGATGCATAAGCAAACTTTAAAAAGGAAACTGCCAAATGAAAGAGTGGTAGTACACGAATGATTTTAATGTGCAAGTTTTGTTTCACCTCAGATGGAACGCGACAAGGAAATGTTTAAAGTTAGGGATGATCATTTTTTGCTTATGCAAGGTTTGTTAGCTTTGTTCAACATTGCAGATCAGTGGTTAGATTTGCTTTTAATCAACAATTTCGCCTACATGATGATGTACTGTGCAAATATTGTCCCATGGAGCAATTTTTCGATTGAGCTTACTGAAAAAGTACTCTAGGTTTGTATTGGGTTGGCTTCGTTTTGCTTTGAGCCACCTCTCTCAACCAATCAAGTGCAAAAAAACTAAAACCATTGGCGACTTTGTCCGTGGCGTTTTCCCGCTCTCAGCCAAACGTTTTTAAATGAAAATTGATTTCACTCTTGTTTCTCTATGGTTCCTCGTGATGTTATTCAGTGCTTTAAATGACTGTTTTGATTAGTGTGGTTTTGTAACTGTATTGTTGGGACTCGGTTATTGAGTGAACTACTACAGATTAGACATGCCAGCGACTGACAACTCTGAACCGCACCACATAATTGATTGTCACCCCAAGATCAATTTTATGTGATCAACTTACTTTTGTTTTAGTCAATTCATTTAATTGTTGAGTGTGTGGCAGCTCTTCAAAACCTTTCACGAAGTGGAAAGAGACAAAACTAAAGAAAAAGATCATCAGCACTGCTTGAAAAAGCACAGCACCACATCTTCTGGCTCTCAGTGATGATTGTATTGTAGAAAAAAAGTGATGGCTGGACTGACATATAAATATTGTTTCCTTTTTTTATTTTAACAGAGAGCTTTCCAAATGTTGCCGCTCATGAGATACAAAATGCACTTTTTGAAGAAACCAAATCAGTTTTAAGGAACAATGTTCTTAACTCGTCTCAAAGGTACAATAATCGTTTTACAATTTATTCCTTACAAAGATGCTTTCTTGATACATTTGCCTTACAATAAAGAATAGTTTTAGAAACGAAGTAATCTGTAAAGAGGATGTTTCCGTCCACACCACTCAGGACAAACCAAGGAAAATTTGATCTTTAAGGTCGGCACACACGAGGGGACTAGTCCCTGCGACTAGTCCCAGCGACCAGTTTCATGCGACTAGTCCCTTCGTGTGAGCTACACATTTCCGTGGTCGCAGTGACCAAAATTTGGTCCCTGCGACTGGTCGCACGAATTCAAACTTGTTTGAATTCGTGCGACCAGTCGCAGGGACTTGTCGCATGAAACAAATGTTTGTCCCCTCGTGTGAACTGTTTGTGCGACCAGTCCCTGCGACTAAACGGTAAATAAGCCAATCACGGGTCAGTATGATGCGTGACTTCCGGTATTTGTAAACATTGCAGTCTCTATGAATTTTCCCTGAATTCTAGATTTCTACAACTGAAGAATAAAAAACTATTTCTAGTTTTGTAAACATATACAGATGTCTTGGAGCCGTTTTGATGGAATTTTTACCCTATTTGACTCTGTGTCTGTTAAAAATAAATAAATAAATAAAAAAACGGAACGTAAAAACATGAATAATTCGACTGAATAAGTGTAGTTCATTTGCGTTGATGTTTAATAGTGCTACAATGAAAAGTTGCCAAATTTTCATTGTTTTCGTGTAACGCCCCAGACTAAGAAACATCTTTTGCCTCTTAATTTTCCTATGTTCTTGTGCAATTGAGTGCCCTCGTGTGAACACCTTAAGGGACTAGTCCCTGCTACCGGTCCCCTCGTGTAAACCCTTCAAAGACTTGTCGCCGGGAGTAGTCG